AACTAAGCGCCTTAAGGCGTTTGCCTCAAAAACCTAGACGCCTTGATGCGCTTAGTTACTCAACGCCTAAGGCGTTTAGTTACTCAACGCCTAAGGCGTTGAATTACAAGACACCTTTGCTTGGCCTGTACCCACCACAACAGCAGTGGGAGTACTAATGCAATACAAGCTGCCTCTTTCCATTGCCTCAAGGCGTCTAACTACTATACGCCTTCCAAGGCGTTTAACTGCTAGACACCTTGGAGGTGTGCAGAGGCTGAACAGCTTGACTGTCTTTGAATACAGCCATGCCATCCCTTGTTTGAACCAAGGTGTTTAGCAGCTACGCACCTTTGAAGGTATCTTACCATTAAACGCCTTGCAAGGCGCGCAGCAGTTAAACACCTTGACACAATGGGCCAGGGCAGCCTGCACTGCTAATGTATGCATGGAGATTTGTCCACATTTTTCCATTTGTTTTAATAAGCTACACATACCTGTCAAAAATTAGTTTATGATGCTGAGTTGTCAATATCCAATTAAGGATGGAGACGGCTGTTGTCAATACGTGTGACCAAACCGCAGAATGTTTTTGTCAATGAATAGCAGTCATCACTTACTATTGTCCTAAAATTAACTTGAGTCTTATTGTTGGTTGCAAAGTAAATTAACACAAAGGCGGCAATATAAATTTGGCCTTGAAGGAAATAAGCACAAATATAAGTCCTTTTCTCCATTGTGAAGAATCCACAATGGACCAGGCGCTGGTGAGGTTGGGCTGCCCCAGTAGATGGAGACATTTTCAGAGTTTAGAGGCGTGTCAACATATGTGACGCAATGTCACATCCCCTTCGTTCGATTCGATTCATGATTTCACTGCCACGAGGCGCTCAAATTCGTGTGCAACAGTCTAAAAACGAAATAAACCTTGCCAAGAAGCACACACGAACTCGCACGTGAACATTTGCGACGCAACAAACAAAATGCTGCCAACCTATGAAATGAAAAGAATGTCTGTTTTTTTTTTTCGTTCTTGTCTTTTCATTTCATAGGTTGGCAGCATTTTGTTTTGTTGCGTCTCAAATGTTTACGTGCGAGTTCGTGTGTGCTTCTTGGCTCGGTTTATTTCGTTTTTAGACTGTTGCACACGAATTTGAGCGCTTCGTGGCAGCGAAATCATGAATCGAATCTAACGAAGGGGATGTGACATTGCGTCACATATGTTGACACGCCTCTAAACTCTGAAAATGTCTCCATCTACTGGGGCAGCCCAACCTCACCAGCGCCTGGTCCATTGTGGATTCTTCACAATGGAGAAAAGGACTTATATTTGTGCTTATTTCCTTCAAGGCCAAATTTATATTGCCGCCTTTGTGTTAATTTACTTTGCAACCAACAATAAGACTCAAGTTAATTTTAGGACAATAGTAAGTGATGACTGCTATTCGTTGACAAAAACATTCTGCGGTTTGGTCACACGTATTGACAACAGCCGTCTCCATCCTTAATTGGATATTGACAACTCAGCATCATAAACTAATTTTTGACAGGTATGTGTAGATTACAAGGTAGGTTTACGCCAGACCGCGTCTTGTCGTAACAGGCTTCGCGATGTCTCGCTGCCTGTTCCTCCAAACCGCGCCTGGCGTACCTACCTTGGCCTGCGGCGCTAGCCTGCCTTCGGCAGGCAATGGCTTGTCCATCGACGGTTACTTGTAACTTCATGCATGCTGGGGGGCCCCCCCAGACCCCCCCTCATTCTAGATCCCTTGTAACTTTTCAACTTGTCGGGGCTGAGCCCCCCAGACCTCCCTTCTTCAAGGCAGAAGTGATCTGTCTGCAGAAAACTCGATTTTTCGCCGTTTTTTAGGTGTTTTTCGGCTATAAAAACTGAACCAGTTGAGCTAGGATAGTGAAATTTCGCGTGTGCCGAGCCAAGGACATGCCCAAAAAGTGTGCAAAAATCTCACCGAGATCGGCCGAGCCGTTCAGGAGGAGTAGTGCGGACACACAGACAGACAGACAGACAGACGTACAGACAGACAGGAAAAACTTTTCAACCCCAATGGAGTAACAGGCTTCGCTATCGCTCAGCCAATTAAAACAAATGGAAAAATATGGACAAATCTCCATGCATACATTAGCAGTGCAGGCTGCCCTGGCCCATTGTGTCAAGGTGTTTAACTGCTGCGCGCCTTGCAAGGCGTTTAATGGTAAGATACCTTCAAAGGTGCGTAGCTGCTAAACACCTTGGTTCAAACAAGGGATGGCATGGCTGTATTCAAAGACAGTCAAGCTGTTCAGCCTCTGCACACCTCCAAGGTGTCTAGCAGTTAAACGCCTTGGAAGGCGTATAGTAGTTAGACGCCTTGAGGCAATGGAAAGAGGCAGCTTGTATTGCATTAGTACTCCCACTGCTGTTGTGGTGGGTACAGGCCAAGCAAAGGTGTCTTGTAATTCAACGCCTTAGGCGTTGAGTAACTAAACGCCTTAGGCGTTGAGTAACTAAGCGCATCAAGGCGTCTAGGTTTTTGAGGCAAACGCCTTAAGGGGCTTAGTTATTGAACACCCAGGAATAACAGTGTTGTCACTGCTGCATCGCCTTTTATTTTGACGTGCACGTACGTGTCAGCGCGACGTCGACGCGACGTAGCGCGGTTACGTTGGTGCAACTACGGAAATGTGGTTGGCTTATCGTAGTTCACCGCCGTGACAATTCCCTTGTTTTTTTTTGTGGCGTGGCTGTCACGTTGATGTGACGTAGCGAGGCGGCGCTGAAGCAACTAATCGAGGGCAACCGCCGCGACGTTGATGCTAAGTCGTTGACGGAGCAACGCAACTCCAAAGACTGAACCTCTACCTAAAAGGATTGTCCTTGCAGAACGGTTAGCTTTCTACAGGCACCGCAAGTGACATAGACTCTACGACGCCAGACTACGAAAACGGCCCGTAACGAAGGCCAACGTAAAACACGTTGTGACAACGTAATTTCCTGAAATCATGCCCGTCGGGGGGGCGGCAACGGCCTAGGAAGCGCGTGAAGCCATGCGCGAGGGAGGTGCAGGGGTTACTTATTTTGCTTCGATTGGAAGATCTAGCCCGTTGATTGCAAAACGCTTTGCGCAGATCAAAAGAGTACAAAATTTAAGTTGCATTAGGCCTAGTAGACTGCCCGAAACTTCCAATTCAACCGAACACAAGGGCGGAATCATTTACATTAACATGGCGCATTCGAGTTTTTCCAGAATTTTATGATTTCTCGGGTTTTTTGGTGTTTTCACTGCACCTTAACATAAAGTCAGGGGGAGTATCGAGAAGAGCAATAAGCCTACTGCACCCTAAATTTCAAGCCCTTTCCATTGGTGCAAAGCGTTTTGAAAAACACTGTCTAGTTTTCATGATCTCGAAGAAGTGCGCAACCTCTGCTCTGACGGCGCGAGCATCGCTTCACGCTCTTCCTAGGCCGTTGCCACCCCCTGGCCTGACGTACCTATAGGTATACCTTGGCCTGCGGCGCTAGCCTGCCTTCGGCAGGCAATGGCTTGTCCATCGTCGGTTACTTAACTTGATGCCTTCATTCTAGATCCCTTGTAACTTTTTAACTTGTCGGGGCTGGGGGGCTACGCCCCCCCAGACCCCCTTCTTCAAGGCAGAAGTGATATGTCTGCAGTAAACTCGATTTTTCGCCGTTTTATAGGTGTTTTTCGGCTATAAAAACTGAGCCAGTTGAGCTAGAATAGTGAAATTTCACGTGTGCCGAGCCAAGGACATGCCCAAAAAGTGTGCAAAATCTCACCGAGATCGGCCGAGCCGTTCAGGAGGAGTAGTGCGGACACACACACACACACACACACAGACAGACGGACAGACAGGAAAAACTTTTGAACCCCAATGGAGTAACAGGCTTCGCTATCGCTCAGCCAAAAAAGAAAGGCGATGCAGGATGATATAGTTAAAATTTAAAAACACATACCTTCTTAATCACAGTGGGGTCATTCCTTATAAGATTTACACGGATCTGGGTGACCTTTGACGATTTCGACCAAATTTGGCACGAAGGTAGCCCTAGTGGTCAGGAACATGTCCACAAATGTTTAGGTCGATATCTCAAGTGGTTTCGTCAGAATCGGCATTTTAATTTTTAACTCTTAAAAATCTTGTAATTTCTTCAAAATGGCTCAACAGGGCTCTTTTTTGTCCGATTTTTATGTGTTAAACGCGATAAGGAATCCGAATCTGACCTCAGAATTGGTCTAGCGTGATTACCAGTGCAAGTAAATTGCGAAAAACATGAAACTGAAGCCATATTTCACGAGCCTGCGTACCCTAGTAGAAAATCCAAATCTGCACTTCTGACCAAGCTAAATTGTACTTCATTTTATGGGCTTTCTATATCTGTATTCAAAAATAGTGGGTGTGGCCCTCCCTTAGGAGCAAGGTTACTAGACTGTCCCAGAAAGAAATCGATGTTCTGTTACTCATCCGCACACTTAGGGAAAGTGTTCCTTTAGTTAAAAAAAAAAAGACTGAATTCTTTCGCCGGGGTCCCTGGTGGGACGTTGGATAGGTTTCGGATGTCAGAATTTATCTCAATTTCGTCAGCACATCCGCAGCATACAATATACGTTCAAAAGTCGTCCAGGTATCCGAACTAGCCTGTCCGATTAGTATCCAACCTATCGCGACGTCCTGCATGCGTCCCCATTGCATCCTGGGCATCTTTTGCATATAAACCGATGCGTGTCCACTAAACATCCATTGTCATCCACCTTGTCCGACCGTTCTAAACATGTCTCTTTTTCATCAACCGTTCCGAATACTTTGGATTCAAAACCGTCCTAAATCTATCCGCACTGTCATGGCCATCCAAAAGCAATCCGCAGAGTATCACGGCATCCTCATCGCCCAAATGAATCAAATTCACATCGCGGTATCTAGGATATATGCCCGTCCCGTACGTATCAGGGCGCGTCCGCAGCGTCTTAGGCATCAAAAAGCGTCCATAGGACATAAAAAATAATCCTCGGCGTCCGAAATGTATCGGGTGCATCAGAATGTCTCCTTTAGGTCCAGGGAACATCCTTCACGTCCACGCGTTCATATTGCATCCAGACCGTCAGGAGTGTTCGAGATGCATCCAAGATGCATCCGTTGTGATCCAGCAAATCCGAGGCGGCCCTGCAGCGTCCGAAATGTTTCAGACGCATCAGTAAGCCCCGTTCAGGTCCAAAAATTATCCCTTACATCTACGAGTCAAAAAGGAATCCAAAATCGATCGATGGCGTTCCGGCTGTGTCCGGAAGGCATCCAAGATGCATCCAGCTCACCGACGGCCCGTTCAAGGCATCCTCCAGAGTCTGAAATGCATCACAGTGCATCAAAGGCGTCAAGCTGGCGTCGGTGCGTATCCTTGGCGTCCACCTGGCGTCGGTGCGTCTCCTTTGCGTCCTCCTAGCGTCGGTGCGCCTGCTTGGCGTCTCAGCGTCTACCTGGCGTCGGTGTGCGTATCTTCAGCGTCCACGTGGCGTCATTGCGTATCCAAGGCGTCCACGTGGCGTCGGTGCGTATCCCCCGCGTCCACCTAGCGTCGGGGCGTATCAACAGCGTCCACCTAGCATCGAGGCGTATCCACGGCGTCCACTTCACGTCACTTGAGTATCCGTTGGCGCCCACCTGGCGTCGGGGTGTATCGGTAGTGTCCACCTGGCGTCCGGGCGTATCCTCGACGTCCATCTGGCGTCGGTGCATATCCTTAGCGTCCACCAGGCGTCAGGGCGTATCTGCGGCGTCCACCTGGCGTCGAGGCGTATCCCTTGCGTCCACCTAGCGTCGGGGCGTATCCTTGGCGTCCACCTGGCATCGGGGCGTATCCACGGCGTCCACTTCACGTCGACGAGTATCCGTTGGCGTCCACCTGGCGTCGGGGCGTATCGGTAGTGTCCACCTGGCATCAGGGCGTATCCTTGGTAGCAGGGCGTACGGGTCATTTTAACATTTGGCGGCCCTTAAAAGGTGAAGGCCATGGCCAAAACCCATGTTCCGACCACTCATTGAAAAGATCTCGTCAAGATCTATCGAAATCTGCCATAAAAATTTTCAGTTGGTCACTCCCCCTTTTTGAAGATAGAGCTTATTTAACTCTATCTTCAAAAAAGGAGAGTGACCAACTGAAAATTTTTATGACAGATTTGGACAGATCTTGACGAGATCTTTTCAATGAGTGGTCGGAACATGGGTTTTGGCCATGGCCTTGACCTTTTAAGGGCCGTTAAAGGGCTATGCCAAGACCGACACCCACGTTCCGACCACTCTCTGAAAAGATCTCGTCAAGATCTATCGAAATCTGAAATAAAATTTTTCAGTTGGTCACTCCCCTTTTTCGAAGATAGAGCATATTTAACTCTATCTTCAAAAAAGGGGAGTGACCAACTGAAAAATTTTATGTCAGATTTGGATAGATCTTGACGAGATCTTTTCAACGAATGGTCGGAACGTAGGTTTTTGGCCTGGTTTTGACCTTTTCAGGGCCGCCAAATGTTAAAAACGACTCTGACACCTGTCGGATTACAAGGACAGGCCCGGAAACGAGGTGGACGCCTGGGATACGCGCTGACGCCTGGGAGGCGCTAAGGATGTGCCTTGACGCCAGGTGGACGCCAAAGATACGCCCGATGCTAGGGGACGCCAAGGATACGCCGCGACGCTAGGTGGACGCCAAGGATACGCCCTGACGCTAGGTGGACGCCAAGGATACGGCCCGACGCTCGGTGGACGCCAAGGTACGCCCGACGCTAGGTGGACGCCAGGATACGCCCCGACGCTAGGTGGACGCCAATGTACGCCCCGACGCTAGGTGGACGCCAAGGATACGCCCCGACGCTAGGTCGACGCCAATGATACGCCCCGACGCTAGGTGGACGCCAAGGATACGGCCCGACGCTAGGTGGACGCTAAGGATACGCCCCGACGCTAGGTGGACGCCAAGGATACGGCCCGACGCTAGGTGGATGCCAATGTACGCCCCGACGCTAGGTGGACGCCAAGGATACGCCCCGACGCTAGGTCGACGCCAAGGATACGCCCCGACGCTAGGTCGACGCCAATGATACGCCCCGACGCTAGGTGGACGCCAAGGATACGGCCCGACGCTAGGTGGACGCTAAGGATACGCCCCGACGCTAGGTGGACGCCAAGGATACGGCCCGACGCTAGGTGGATGCCAATGTACGCCCCGACGCTAGGTGGACGCCAAGGATACGCCCCGACGCTAGGTCGACGCCAATGATACGCCCCGACGCTAGGTCGACGCCAATGATACGCCCCGACGCTAGGTGGACGCCAAGGATACGCCCGGACGCTAGGTGGACGCCAAGGATACGCCCCGACGCTAGGTGGACGCCAAGGATACGCCCCGACACCAGGCGGACGCTAAAGATGCGCCCTGCGGGTAGACGGGTTGGACGGACTAAGGATGCTTGGCAGATGCTTCCTTGCATGAAGTTTAAGAGTATCCAATGCGCTTTGCTCCTAACAAGGAAGTGATGGCCGAGGGGCTTCAGCGGTCAACCAGCATGCGGAGGGTACCGGGTTCGACTCCCGGTAAATCAGCACCATCTTCGAGAAGTTCATCGCACATCCAAGCGACATCCAGCACGTCCAACCACCAGCCTTCAAGAAAGATCCATCTCATCCTCATCGGGAAGTCGTCCACTCATCTGGAGCAGAGAATCATCCTTCATCCGAAAGACGTCCAATACCCATCCAGAGCAGACAACACATCCAACAAGCATCCCTATCATCCGTCTCATCAACAACACACCCGAATCACATCTGATCACATCGGATGTAAAATGGATGCGATGTGGATACGATTCGAATCTTTTGGACGTGGTTTGGATGCGTTCTGAATGAAGAGAGGACGTCCGGAGGCGGACAGGACGTATTCAGGATGCTTTTGGGATGGTCTGGATACGCCCAGACGCCTTTTGGACCCCACATGATACGTCCCGACGTTAGGTGGACGCTCAGGATACGCGCCGACGCTAGGTGGACGCCCAGGATACGCACCGACGCCAGGTGGACGCCCAGGATACGCACCGACGCCAGGTGGACGCCCAGGATACGCACCGACGCCAGATGGACGCCAAGGATAAGCCTCGACGCCAGTTGGATGCCAAAGATACGCACCGACGCTAGGTGGACGCCGAGAATACGCCCCGACGCCAGGTGGACGCTACGGTGGTCGACAGGATACGCCCCGACGCCATTTGAATGCTTTAGAATACGCCCTGACGTCAGGTCGACTCCAACGGATATCCTGCAATGCTGGGTGGATACAGTGGATACTTTCTGATGCTGTGTGGAGGCCGAGGATGCATGGGGACGAATTCCAGACGCTGTAGGGTCACCGGCAACGGATGCTTCTTGGATGCGTTTTGGATGCAGCCGGACTTAGCCCCGACAGTTTCTGGATGTGCTTTGGACGCATTGGGGACGCAAAAGGTGAATATTGGATGTATTTGTGATGCATTACGATGCTCTTGATACGGTTAAGATGCGTTATGGATACGGAGGATATTTATACCTTCTGTGTCGGATACAGAGGGATGCCAGAGGGACGAATTTTGGGTATCAGAATCTGTCCAAAATGAGAAAAAGGCGATGCATACGGGACGTCCGAAAATCATCAAGAAAATCCCACCAGGGGTGTCTCGGACAGAAGTTAGAGGTCTCGCATCGGCTAAAAAGCGAAAAATGACGTTTTTTGGTACATTCCGCCAGATTGCTCCCGCGGGGGTACATCCTCCCCTCCTCCCGCTACTCACTTGAACGCCTAGCATGTTTGGGCTCCCTTTCTGCACAAAACCGACCCATCCCGAGCCCTTTCAAGTCCGCATAATCGACCAAAACTATTTTTTTTTTCTGAAAGAAAAAATGCAAAATAGGGTACAGGGGGTTCGAATTAGGGTCAGGTGTTTGTTTAGAAGGAAAGAGAATCACAAAAAACGTAGGATGGCGGTCATAGGAGTTAGCCTTGGCTAGTATGGATACTAGTATTGGTGCCACCTGGGCGGCCGAAAATTTGCGCATTTCAGTAAAACTGCCGTTTTTCGCCCTTCTCCGCCACTGTAACGCTTCCACTGTAAATCCAATCGCAATACTTTTCGTACTTTTTTGGCGATACGATTAAGTATTGCCAATAAACGGCCTTACAGAAAAGTATTGCCTTCAAAACGGCAATACACAAATGTATCGCCAACATTTGGGGATACCTCGGAGTATTGCCACAATGTGGCAATAAACGTTGAACAAATCAAGGGGACAAGTTCTTTGTTTAATGCCGTGATTTTGGCAATACCAAAAAGTATCGCAAAATTTTGGCGATCCTTCTATGTATCGCCGTTCTGAAGGCAATACTTTTCCGTAAGGCCGATTATTGGCAATACTCAATTGTATCGCCGAAAAATGTACTTCAGTATCGCCTTTGCATTTGCAGTGTTTCCACCGGCAAGCGTTAGAAGCATCGGTAAGCATTAGAATGCTAAGGGAGGAGAGTCTTGATGTCCCAAGAACCCAAGTGGGTGGCGTGGAAGCGGTGGAAAGCGTTACAGTGGCGGAGAAGGGCGAAAAAAGGGCGGTCATAAGAGTCAGCCATATGAGTATTGGTGCCGCCCGGGCGGCCGGAAATTTGCGCATTTCAGTAAAACTGCCGTTTTTTCGCCCTTTTCCGCCACTGTAACGCTTTCCACCGCTTCCACGCCACCCACTTGGGTTCTTCGGACACTGCTTGCCGAAGGCAGGCTAGCGCCGCAGGCCAAGGTAGGTACGCCAGGCGCGGATTGGAGAAACAGTCAGCGAGACATCGCGAAGCCTGTTACAAGACGCGGTCTGGCGTTAACCTACCTTAACAAGAGGAACACTTTCCTAAGTGTGCAGATGAGTAACAGAACATCGATTTCTTTCTGGGACAGTCTAAAGTTCACCCAGATCCGTGTAAATCTTACATCCTTACAGAACTCTGAAGACGGATCCAGGGTCCAACCCTCCCCCGTCCAGCAACCCACTCCCCCTTCTTCTATCCAACGACCCCCATCAACCGCACCCCCTTCTCCTATCCAACACCACCCCATCAACCCACCCACTGTTCCTACTCCATTAACCTCCCCCGTTAACCAACCCTCCCCATCTTCTGTGTTAAGCCGGCTGGGTCCACTCTCCACCCGAAACCTACCCAACCCCTCCCCGTCCTCTCATGGCTGTACCTCTTAGGCCGCTGTTCTTCAATCCCCAATGGGAGGCGTGGCCGCCGCGCCCCCATCGTCCGTGCTTCGAAGCCCGTGTACGTGGGCCTCACCGTGCTGGTCATCAAGCTCGAGCCCCTCACCGTTTCGTGCTTACCGGTGCGTCCGCGCGGTGTCTTCATGAGGTCTCGCAGGGGTAGGGGTGGATCGCGCCCCAGTGTGTCAAGAGCTCCTTGGCGTGGCAGCAAGTTGAGATTACGCTGATACGCTGTGCAACGCAACAAGTATACGATGTGTGCTGGCCAGCTGCTGACACGTGAAAGAAGTCATTAGTTTCTTTGATAAGCTTTTTCTTTGTATCTGTGTACCGCGGTTATTTTTCTTCTCTAAGTGCACTCTTTTTTCATTCAAAACTGTTTCTTTTTCTCGCTTCCTTTCCTTTATTTTTCTGACGAGTCACATTCACGAGACAGGTCGTGGTGAGCATGGATTGACACGGTCAGGAAGACAATCTCGGCCGCATTCAAAGGTTGATAGTAGAAGAAGCGTCCCGCCAGAAAAACTTCTTACATCTAGTGCAGGTGAACTTAGATATTCCGGAGATTACGTGTTGGGCCGCAAGGAGGGCAAGAAGAGTAGCCATGTTTGGACACATTTGAGGTTGTTTATGAAGCCACAACCCATACCCCTGTGAATGCAACTCAGTGCACTCTCTGTAAGTCTCTATTTCGTTACTCGGGGGACGGCTGCACTACCACCACACTGAGAATCCATACGCTATGAATATAGCGCCAATTGGTGCAACGCAAAAGCATTGCACATGTAGTGCATGCCTCCGCATTCCCATGCATTAGCACAGCATTTTCGCGAAGCGTTGCACGTAAGGTGCAATATTGCTGCAGCTTGAACGTGTGGTGCTGCACCACACGGTGCTATAATCATAGCGTTCGGAATCTCAGTGCATGGAGGGGGAGCGGGGGGCAACGGCGGCGCCGCAAACTCCTATCTAAGCCCGCCAAGATGAAGGTGAAGCAGGCCCTTGCGAATGCGTTCGCCGAGGGCCTGATGTCCTTCGCCGCCAGCCTGACGTCCGACAGCATGGTGGACCTGGCGCAGACCCTCCATGACTCGGCCATCGCGCCGGGCCGGCGGTCTAATCAACGCTGCGGAACTGATGCCATGCGCAAACGCATTGGCGCTGGAAGGGAATGAACAAAGGGGTGGATTCTACTCGAAGTGACACTTTTTCGCTCTGGAAGGCGATCGGTTTGTCGGATCGTCTTGAAAATTTCAGGATCGCTTCCGCCATGTCCTTTACACTCCGAACGATCATCGGAGGGCTTCCAACCCCTCCAGGGAGGAGCAAGGGGTGACCACCCTTACTGCAGGGGCGCCGCATTTCTCGGCTGAGACGTCTCACTGGACACTTGAGGGATTCCCCGTAGAGTTTTTACGCATTTCAGTGTAACCCCCGGTTCAAGGCCCCGAACGGCCGGCGATCGTATGGGGGTGGAGCTTGCTGGGGGATGGTTAGGTAGCGGATTAACGGCACTGTGGCAAGAAGGTACGGAAAATCCTGTTAATTTTTTTGCCAGGATTCTCCGTAGCCCTCTTATCAATATTCTCCGTAGGCTCTTACAGTATTCTCCGTAGGGCCGCACAGTATTCTCTGTAAATCCGCACAGTCTTCTCCGTAGGACCTCGAAGACTGTATAGTCCTACGGAGAATACTGTGCGGTCCTACAGGAAATACTGTAAGAGCCTACGGAGAATATTGATAAGGGGCCTACGGAGAATTACCACAAGCTGTTTACAGGATTTTCCGTAGCTTTTTGCCACAGTGGGGGGGGGGGGAACACGCATTCCGGGTACGGGGGACGCCCTGAAGGCCATTTAGCGCGAAATTCGAACAAGTTCGAAATCCATCCCCTCGAGGGGGAGGAGGTGACTGCAGGAGGGGGAGGGTTTGTCCGAATTGAATTTTGCTTGCACCGCTGTTAAGGGAGGACTCATTTGAGCTGGTCCGCCAAAAATTTTAACACTGCGATGACGGTAAGTGGACTTTTACGCCACGTTTCCATCGTGTTTTACACCCTCCCGTCCTTAGGGGTTGTTGCTGTTGCTGTTGCTGTTCGTAAGGGGTGGCGCACGGACCGCGCGCTTCGCAGGCCTCGAGATGAGTAGTGGGGGCAACTGTGTACCAAATTTCAGCTTCCTAGCTCAAAAGACTGAAGAAATAGACGGGACAAAAAGTGCTCCGCTAATTGGTCTGGAGTGTAGTTGTCTCTTCGAAACACACTTTTTTAAAACATGAAATACAATTTCCATGGGAACGGAACTGTTCTCCGGTCGCTCTCATCCATGTGTCCTGTCTTGATATAGGCGTTTGGTCGTTCTCTTTGCCGCAGATCCACTTGCAGCCATACAAAATATCGAGGGGTCCTATTCAAAAGATCTTATCTGGGCGTTCCCCCCCAAGACAATCTTATCTTAAACGCCTGCAAATTTCACTCATTTTGATCAATCAGAATAAATACGACGGTAAGCGAAACATATTTCTACATGCAGTTTTGGTTTCTTCGATCTCTCATCTTTAGATTTACTGTAACA